ATTTTCATTTTATACCCCAAAAAACAGGAAAATAGTCCGTTGTTTAATTTTTGCTAATTTTAACGTTAGTCAGTATCTTTTTTTAAAAGGAAAGACGAACGACCAAAATGTGCACTGATTATTTTAATATAGAGTCAAAATATTTTAATTGATGGGATTCTTCACCTAAAAACTCCAGTCACCTACCAACAAAGTTTTAGCTTTGTTTTTACACCATGAAGCAAACCGATGGCTTCAGTTTAACAATTTAAGCTCAAACGTACATCATGCTGCTGAATGACATCATCTTGCTTTTGCTTTGAAAAGAATGTCACACATTTGGTTCTGTGTCTGTAAATTAAGAAGTTATATCAACCTCCTCACGAGGTGTCAATACTGTATATCAATCCCTCATTTCCTCCWCTCAGAGACTTCCCTTCGTGTCCCTGTTTTCTTCATGCATTTCTTCTCGATTTGACGCCCAGAACCCAGTGGAAGTTAGGAGTAATGAAGCCTTTGAGGCTCTAACTGAATCCCTTTACCTTCCCTTCTTTCCTCAGYGGGCTTTCCACTTCAACTCAAAAAGTCTCTGTGGTTTCAGCAGCCATCATACCCTGCATTTTAAACTCTCAGCGTGAAACCTGATGTTGACAAAGCCAATTTAATTTTAAGTGGAAGCCGGGCTGTTTGACAACCCATCACAGACGACTGATCTTGATTTCACGTCATGGACAGATGAGCAGGGAAATTGCGGTCTTGCGTGGGAAGTCAGAACATTTATCCCCTGTTATGACTATTGTTTTAATAGGGAAGATTAACAAGATCCCTTACCTCCTGAGTACCCCAGAATTAAAGGGATCACTGATTCTCTCTTTATTCTGCTGCTGAATCAAACACTATGGTTAATTAAATTTGAAGTTTACCTTAACGTTCCCCTATTTCCCAGTCCTTCTGCTTCTTCAGCATGTGTTTTGGAAACGAGAACACCCGTTAATCACAGTGAATATACGTGTGCATTCACAGTGCTTCCTTTATGTTTTCTTATTCCATCTAATCAACTAATGGATCCTTAACAGCAACCTTTAAGTCTAAATTACATGTATCAAACCCTGTTGAGGYAGAGAATAAAACATGTTGCATTCTCTCCTCCTATCGCGTCTATATGAACTACTCTTTATTTAACTTGTCAATGAAATCTCTAGGAAATATATATATGTAAAAATGGGATAGGTACATCAATAAAGACATTGTGATAGCAACAAACCCGTAATACAAGCTTTGGTAACACAGTCTGAATTCATTATGTAATTACCCATTTGGGTCTTTTCCAAACTGAAGGAAAAAATGTGTGCATTCAAAATAACTTCTGACCAGTACCCACCTCTGAATAATCATTCTCCCCATCTTTCTCAGTAATAAATCATCCAAAGTTTCTCCAGATATAAGTACTCACCAGAAACAAAGCAATTGCCGATCCCAGTATAAAACCAGCCACTACATCTGAGCAGTGGTTTCGATACTCTGACACCCGATTGAGGCCGGTGAGGAAGGCTGAACAGAGCGTGCCCAGACACAGCACGGGTTTGGCCAGGCGACTGGACTTGGTCTTGATTGTGCTTGTGATGTACATCTAAAAACATGAATAATAATAATAATAATAATAAT